ACCTACAGACACCGTTCCAATACAAATTCCGTAGGTCGAGGGTCCGCTGTACTATGCAACACACCATAGATAGATAAAATTTTATTACAATCAAAAGACAAGCAACACACCTTGATAATTTTCTCTCCCCCAACATTCCCTATGTGAGCAAAATCTTAGAAAAACATATCTCAATTTTCCTTCTTTTTTACATGGCCATCGACCCAGACAAGAAATCAAAAGACAAGAGTTATAACCCTCAACCAGAATTCATTCGGACTTTAGCTCCAGGGAAGAAAGCTGTGGTAGGAACCACGCGCCAGCACTGACTGAACAGTGGCAACTCACTGCTGGCACCACCACCTTAGGGAACTGCTGGCCATCCACACAATTCCCTCCCATTAGTCCTGAAGGGAGTAACAACAGACAGTTTGCTGTCCTCTGAAGATGCCGACCACAGAGACTGGCGAAACGTTAGGAAGAACCACTTTCAGAACACGGCCAAGAAGCCCGAAAAACCCACAACAACAGTTATTTTTGTTTTTTAAATATATAGTTTAATCTTTCAATTCTTTTCCAGAACAGAGTAACAAGAAAGAGTATGCTTGTACCGTATTTTTAATGCATGCTTTCTCTTGCTACAAGTATCCAACCTTTTCTTCACCAAGGCCAGGAATTGCAAAGAATCCAAGGAAAATATAAGACAATATGGTTGGACGGTGTTATCGAAGGGACCAACATGAATTTGACCCAACTCTGGGAGGCAGTAGAAGAAGACAGGAGGGTTTGGCGTGCTCTGGTCCATGGGGTCACGAAGACTCGGACACGACAACGTTCCTAGAGAGGCAGGATGTTTAAAAAGTGGGGGAAGAAATTAATTAGCGCACCTCCTTTAGTCTTCCGGGGAGAAAAGCGGAGCGTGGGGTTTGCCTTGGCGAAGCCGCTGCTTGGAGGGAAGGCGAGGAACTGGTAAAAAAAAAGGGGCGACCGTGGGATGATGAGGGAAAGAAAGAGAAAATGACCCCCAAAAAGGCCTAAGGGAGTTTTCGGGAAGGTTTTTGATAGTG